CGTTAGAGTGAGACCTAACAAGTCGTGTAACAACTATAGCAACGATAGGCTGACACATGTGGAGGACAACCACTGCCACGATTGCACCGACACTACAGACTCAGCGCACGTGAAGCACGCGGACGACAACCACCGCCCGGACCACACCTCCCGGCCCTCCACTGGCGAGCGACCACTCAAGAGATGTCATACTTTTATAGCGCATATAATGCGGCAAAAGAGTAAACAAGTGTTGGTTTGTCTCGTGTTGGCCATCATTGTCACCCTTTTGGCCGCTATTAACAACGGGTAAAACTTGATCCCTATGTCCACTCCATATCTGCTTCAAAGTGATGCCTCACTATCTCATTGATTGTCAAAAATAATGTGTATTTTGAGTTAACGCTTAACATTACGTGTTATACAAAAGTTTGCGAAACATTCATCTGATAAGCGCTGCAAACATAAGTTTGCAAAAGTTTTTTGTTTGCAGTTTTGGTTTTCAATTTATTGATTATTTTGTGTTTTGAATTTAGTTATTGTTTATTGGTTATGATCAGCATTTTATTTATTTGCATTTGTTTAGTTCAATATGTTTTCGCTAAACACTTTTTATATTAAATAAACTTATTTAAGAAATAATGAGTAATGATATATTAGTTTGAGTTTAACTTATTATCTCTTTATTATAATTAAGTAAAACCCAAATAAGGTTTTAATTTAAACTATTTTGTGAATGTGTTACTGTATTATACAACTTAATGATTAAGGGAAAAGTTTGCTAAACTTTTCTGAATTGTTTTATAAATAGTTTGACAAAGATTTGAATATTTTTTAAATGTATAATTAATGATGACTCGACTTAAAGCCTTTTCACTAATGAATCAGTAAAATGTTAGATAAAAACACGTGAACTGAATCTCAACAGAATATTACACATAATTACATGCATTCATATCAGACACACATGTGTTGAATTGTTTTGCCGTTTAAATGATAACCAATTAAAACACTTGTGAAGTGTATTGAAAATTGAATGCAAGAAAAAAAGTATTTTGTTTGCAATATAAATGTGTTTTACAAGCGATTGTGTTGCAGAGGTCTTCGCACCCGAAAGACACCAAACCCTACAAAACTTTTCGACGAAGACTTATATCCGATAGTGGATTACGAGTTCGGAGATTTGAGACAACTATCACTCCGTGCCCTTCAAAACGATGTCTCGTTCGTCATGTACTGTATGTGTGAATTGAAATGTGATGAATATATGAATGAATTAAATGAATGGTATGTTT